AATGCAATAATCACTCATGAACATACCACCCTATAACTTTCCTCTAGACCACAGCTCTCCACAATTTTATTTTTCGCTTCCCTCTTCCCGAGCCAAACACATCCTGAATCCTCTATTTATTATTCTCTTGCTATCCCTTTTTAAAATCATACATTCATCTCATCTCTATTCCTAAATAGTATAGTTTTAAATTTCTTTACTGTATGTAAAAGGATATCATCCTTAGGTGATCTTTCAGATGCATCCATATTGTTGTTGTAGTTCACTTTTTCTTTGTTTAATATCCCATTGAGTCACTATCAATGAATTACAGCAAGTGAACTACAACAACATGCAATAATATGGATGATATCCTTTTATATAAAGTAAAAAAAAATAAAAATAAAAACAAAAATATATTCAGAGCTTCTCTTGAGAATATGCTAAGAATTAAATTGCTGGATGAAAGGGTATGAGAATGTTCAACTTTAAGAACTAATGCTAAAATATTCTCCAAATAGTTTTATTAACTTATACTCCCACCAGCAACATTTACTGTAGATATATATCTTATCTAATGTGAGGTGTTATTAGACTCTTCAATTGTTGCCAGTTGAATAGGTATAAAATAGTACTTCATTGTGGCATTTATCTATATTTCCCTGATCATTGAGATTGAACATACATTCATGTCTTTATTGGCCATATGTGTTTCCTCTTTTGTAAAATGATTGTTCATACCTTCTGTCTACTTTTCTATTGGGTTGTTTGTGCTTTTGTTATTGATTTATTGTACTTTATGTATTCTTTTTTTTAGACAGAGTCTCACTTTGTTGCCCGGGCTAGAGTGCTGTGGCGTCAGCCTAGCTCACAGCAACCTCAGACTCCTGGGCTCAAGTGACCCTCCTGCCTCAGCCTCCTGAGTAGCTGGGACTACAGGCATGTGCCTCCATGCCCAACTAAATTTTTCTATATATTTTTCATTGACCAATTAATTTCTTTCTATTTTTAGTAAAGACAGGGTCTCTTGCTCAGTCTGGTTTCGAACTCCTGACCTTGGGCAATCCTCCTACCTCGGCCTCCCAGACAGTTAGGATTACAGGCATGAGCCACAGTGCCCGGCCTTTGATTTATTGTACTTTATGTATTCTTTTTTTTTTTTTTTCGGCATATTATGGGGGTACAGATTTTAAGGTTTCAATAAATGCCCATTTCCTCCCCTCCCCCCAAAAGTCTGAGTCTCCATCATGACCATCCCCTAGATGGTGCACATCTCACTCATTATGTATGTATATACCCGCCCGCCTATGTATTCTTGATATTAATCCTTTGTTGGGTATGTATGCTTCAAATATCTTCTTTCAGTCTGTAATTTGTCTTTCCATTTTATTTTAAGGTGTCTCTTGACAAATTTCTTAATTTCAATTCCTTAGTTTTAATGAGGTAACATCTATGCCATCTTTGTCTCTAAAAGTAAATATGTTGCATGATTTATATGATAACTTTTCCTACTCCAAAGTCTAAAAACCACTGACTTATAGTTCTTATTAAAATTTTTTTTTCTTTTGCCAGAGAGAGAGAGAGAGAGATGTTTTCTTCTACTTTAAAGCAAACCAAGGTTAACACTGGTCCCCCAAGCTCCAGTGGAAGTGAGAACAGTGTTTATAGAATCTGCCAGTATACAGCAGAAAAAGCAGCAGGGACTGACAAATCTAAGGCACCCAATAAAGGTGGTTATGTTACCCTGTGACATCCAGGTGACAGGGCCCTGATGAGGCATAGAAGAAAGAAATACATCCTCATTCAGTAACTTACCAGTTTTCCAATCAGACTTGATTGTGTATACTTAGGGACTCCCAAAATAACCAGGTGCTTGTAAAGGGCCTGAGCCTTTGATCAGATGGGAGAAAGTACCGGAGATTGGACTACATTATTACCCAAGACCACTGAAAGACACTAATTGCAGAGAGGTCTGTTTCTCCAAGTTTAATCACTGAATTCCAGTCTTCCTGTGCAGAGCATTTCAAAGGTGAACCTCTCCCTATCTTGCAGATGCTCCCCACCATGCGTTGTTCTAATAAGAAGAGTTTTATATGCATCTATCATTCTAGGAGGGAAAATGAGAAACTTCTAGCTATTTTCTAGAAGTCTCTTGCCTTACTCAGTTTTTCCTCTAAGGTTTTATCTTATTCCTTTTTATCTATGACCTTCCTCCATTTATTCCTCTGCTTCCAGAGCCACCTAAGGCACTGGGGCATCAGGTTGGGTATAATCCTCTCCTGTGTGGGTAAGGCAGGGCCGGTGGCTACACTTAATGCTCTCTTGCCCACATTTAGGCATTGTCTTGCAAGTACTGCTTGTGGTTCAAGTTGCAACAGGTGTCTGTGAGTGGGCTCTGGGCTTCCTGCTACCGGATTTGGTTCTGTTACACTTTGGACAATAGTTGTAGACACTGGCACCCGGAAATATAAAGAATAAAGATTAGGGTATGATTAAAAATCCCCAGCCTTTAAAATAGCATTTGTGTGCACTAACAACTTCCTGTCAGATGAAAGACTGCTTATGACATCCTTATAAAGGCAAAAGCCCTTCTTCACTTCTCAGCCTTTGCAAGCTGGCCTTTCAATCAGGCAGCATGCTTCTGGTCTGTGGGACATGTAGTTGTAATTGTTGGGGGCCCCTAGAAATTCATGTGCTCTGGGGAAATTTGGTACTAAAAACTGAGGACTCTTTGCAATATCATTTTACTATGGAAATGGTCTTCTGAGTATGGTTATAAAATCTGATGGTGACATATAACAAAAAGACAGTAAAAAAATTTTAAAGGCAGTAAGTCAAACTTTAAGTAGTTATCAGGTACTACGATAAAATGGAGTTATTATCTCATTTCTACTAGATCTTGAATTAACTCCAAAGTTACTAAAACCAAGGCTAAAATAAGGGAAATTTCTCTGGTGAAGATTTGGTCCTTGTGTCAGAGTATTTCACAGAAGAAAAATATTTAGCCAATATACCAGTGATGAGGTGTTCAGCATTATTAGTGGTCAGGAAAAGGCAAATTTAAACCACCGGAAATACTATTTTAAACTCATGTGATAGGCAAACATTTTAGAGTCTGATGTTATCAACAGGCTCTCAATACTGTTAGTAGGAGCATGTACTAGTACAATCTTTTTGGGAAACTGTTTGACACTATCCCCTAGAGTTGAACATCATGTACACCATACTCCAGCAATTCTGCTGCTGAGTTGATACCCAAGAGAAACTTAAATACCAATAACAGGAGACACGTATTTCAAATGTATAGCAGCACTATTCCTTGTAGCAAAAAAACTAGGAAATAGCCCAAATGGCCATCAATAAGACTGTGGATGAATGAATATACACATGATAAAATATTGTACAGCAATCAAAAATAATTAACTACAGAGACATGAAATAACATAAAAGAATCAAAGTTAAAAACAACAAAACTAAAAATATGTACTTTCAAGGAATGCACATAGATGCAATACTACTACTTTACAAGAAGAAAGGGAATAAGGAACATACGATTTTGGATAATATTTGCCTTATATCAGTTGAGCTTGGGATTGTGTTGCCGGAGTTAGATGAGTTTGGTGTTAAGGTCCCAGCTTTTATTTGGGTGGTGCCTCTGTGAGTACTTACTACATGTATTAGAAATAATTAACTGAAAGACTAATGAAAGCAAACTGTGCATTATTAGTGATAAGTACGATTGTTGTCGATTCCATTCTGTCTACCTGAGTCTATTGCTGGAGAAGAAAAATAAAGAAAATTTTTTATTTCTAAAGTAAACCATATAGGAAATTTATAAGGAATAGAAAGAAGTCAAAAGCACAGGGTTGTTACAGGTGTGAAATCTGACTCTGTCCCTAATTAGGAGTATGATCTTGAGCATGTTACCTAATACCCCAGTACCTCAGTTTTCTCATTTGTAAAATGTGGATTGTATTAGTGTTTTTCTGTTAGTGTCATGATGAGAATTTATTAGGATTAAATTTATAAAATATAATGAGTTTAGCACAGTGCCTGGGATAGAGTAAGTATTCAAAAGCATTGGCAGATAATATGGAAATCAAAACAATGAGATATCACCTTCCCCCAGTGAGAATGGCTTTTAACAACAAGTCCCAAAACAATAGATGCTGGCATGATGCAGAGCAATAGGAACACTTATACACTGTTGGTGGGACTGCAAACTACTGTAACCTCTATGGAAAATAGTATGGAGATTCCTCAAAGAACTAAAAGTAGACCTACCATTTGATCCAGCAATCCCACTACTGTTGCTGGTATTTACCCAAAGGAAAAAAGTCACTTTATCAAAAAGACACCTGCACTAGAATGTCTATGGCAGCACAATTCACAATCACAAAAATGTGGCATCAACCCGAGTGTCCATCAATTCATGAGTGGATTAATAAAATGTCATATATGTATATACCATAGAGTTCTACTCAGCCATAAAAAAATGGATTAATACCTTTTGCAATAGTCTCTATGGAACTGGAGACCATTCTCCCAAATGAAATATCTAAAGAATGGAAAAACAAACACCACATGTACTCACTCATAAATTGGAGCTAACCAATCAGCACTCATGAGCACAGATGGAAGTAAACTCAATGGAAATTGTGCAGGTGGGAGAGGGGAGGAGAGAAGGGGTGAAATCATACCTAACAGGTGCAGTGTACACTATCTGGGTGATAACCTTGACTCAAGCAGTACAAAAGCAATCCATGTAACCAAAAACATTTGTACCCCCATAATATTCTGAAATAAAAAATAAAATAAAATAATAGTAGTTGTAGTAGTCTCATTTAGTCAGATGATTCCATTAAAATTCAGTTTCTCCTTTATTTAGTTCTGTTCTAGTTCACAAGCCTTTCCCAGTTCTTCTAACCACTGTACCCTATTTTCACTTTTCAGTCTCAAATTAGGCTTGAGTTCTCACCCTATGCCAACTTTGGAGAAGAAAGATTCTTCTTTGTTTGAACTGCAGATCGCTTCGTTCGGTTTCTTGCTACCACTAAATCTGCTGTCCCTGTGGAAATGGAATCAGCTGAGAAGGCTTTAACTATATAAGGTACTGGCAGATGCTTACAATTTCTTATTTAGGCAAATTGGGCAATCATATAAATAAGAAGATGGAAAGGATGCTATGGCTTTTGATAATGTAAGTGTGTAAAATAAAAGTTTCCTGGCTGATAGAGTTTCTTTCTGTAGGTACAATATTTTTTGAAAAAGTTTAAAAGCCCATACATGGCAGGAAAAAAATGTGTTTTTTCTCTGTGCCAGTCAGAAACAATGCTTTGGAGAGACTCGGGTTTCTATTGCTTTGATCTAAATAAGCTCAGTATATTCTATTAAAATAGATTTAAAAATAATTGAGTTCTGTAATTATAGCTTTATGAATAAAATTACAAATACAATTTCTGTACTGCAATTTTAACCATGTGGAAAATGGGATGCTAATTACATTTTTTAAAAAATAATTTGAGTACCAAATGAGAAAAAAGTTCATATGGCAAAAATGAAAAAGAATACAAAATTATATGTATTTTAAAAATCACTGTTTTTATATAGTGGCTGGAATTTTATTGTTGCATTAAAAAGAAATCCTGCATGAACTAAAGGATAACAGTTTGCCCTTCCTGAAAAAGGTGAATAGAGAAACTGCTAAATTTCAGCTTAAGAAAAAAAAGCCTGTATCATAGCAATTTTTCCATTTATCTGTAAAAATCCTCAGTTAAGCTACTTCAAAAGAAATTTCATGAGACCTCTGCCCTTAGCTCTGTGTGATTTTGATTGAAAATGGCTGTCGTGGTTGTGGAGGACTAGAGGAGCACGGGCTGCATCCTGAGGCTGGGTGGGGATCAGAAAATGTCCTAGTTTCCAGGAGCAGGGAGAAGTTTAGGTTCCTCAGACCACAAAATGGAAAGTTTGATATTGATACCGCAAGAAACTTTGAAATAGATTGTCGTTACGAGTCTGTGGAAAGGGAGGAGGGTGATCATTGAAGTCAGAAGGAGCGAGATGAATAAGCACTCCCTTGCCCGATTTCACTTCCTTTTGACAGGGGCCAGTGAGCTGGCAGATGAAGCCACTCATGGTCTCTCCAATGACTCTGCAGCTGGGTGGGAGGGCAGATAGGGTGGAACCCAAAATAGCTTGACAGGATGGAACAATGGGCCAAATCTAACAAGATAAAAAGTAAAAGGGAGATCTATAAAGCTGCCCTTAGTTCCAGAAGATTTGCAACACTCACATAAGAGTGGTGAGCAGATTGCAAATGCAACTGGCAGGTGTTAGCAGGTTGTGTGCCGCACACAGACGCCTGGCCCAGGGTGTGAGTAGGGGCTGTGTCCATCTAATGACGCCACCTCTTTCTAGTTTGCAAAAAGGTACTGCTAAAACAGAAGGGTGTATGCTTGAAAAAATACAAATTAGGGTTTTTAACTAGGAATTCAGTGAGTTACTGGTATAGTGTGGTCACCAAGAATTGGAGAAGGCATCCCTCTATGTGCCATATCCAGTTCTGGGTTCAAGCTGAGCTGGACATATTGGGAGTAGAAAGAAGCACAGTGGCAAATTGAAACACAACTAGAAGAGAAAGGAGAAAATCTGGAAGTTATGATCTGCAAGGAATGGTGAAAAGAAGAGAGAATACTTAGTCTGCAGAAGGGAAGACTTAGAAGAGCCATGATGCACTCCCCACTAGCAAATCAACCATGAGTGCGAGATGTCACAAAGCAAGGGCATCAGAGGCCAAAAGGAAACTAAAGAATTTTTTACAAAATTTAACATTTGAAATTTAAAAAGAAAACACCAAATTTTTCATTTTGAGGAAATTCAGAATTTTATTTTGTTTCCCTATTTTATAGTTTTGTAATTTTAAATTTTGAATTATATATTGCCTAAAAATCAGGGAGCATCACAACCTTTTATATCCATGTCTTAAGATTATACAAGATATAGAACTTTTCAGCAATTTGACTTGTCCACAAATGGAACAGACAATGTAATATTGTGATGCAGTTTTTTTCCTTATTGTCAGCATGGCTGAGGCTGAGTGCAGGCACTGCTTCTTGGATGTAAGGAAGAGATTATTTGTTTCTGTAGTTGTTGTAGGTGTAGGGCTAGATGGCTTTTAAGGTCCCTTCCCATGCTGAGATTCTATGATTCTGAGAAAAAGCAATTTCCCTTAAGAAAAAGGAAAATTGAGATTATCAATATCACTAACTTTTTCTAGAAAATTCCAGAAATGAAGAGAGAAGCGTAATGCCTGTAATGCAAGAATCTGGAAGTGCTCAGTATCTCCTTCTCTCTTTTGAGTGATTTGCTAGTGATCTTTTCACAAATGCTCTTCTCACGCCTGGAGTGTCCATGGTTGAGATTTGGGACATAATACTACAAGGTCTTGGGTTTGATCTTGGTGAGGACTAGTTAGCTCTGAAAGGTTTGATTTCAACACAAGCTTATCACCTTACAGGTATTCTATGCTATAAATTTTATTGACAACTGTGATCTTCTTGACCAAGTATACTCAGAGTGGCATGTAGGCAATGGAAGGTAGGTGGATGGGTTAATATTTATCTTTCCTGCTAGAAACAGAATGCAAAGCCTTGTCCTCCATATATGTATTAGGTAGCTGCAACATCTTGTATTTATTCTTGTCACAATAAGACTGTCATTCAGAGGTGACCATCCCTTTGATTAGACTTTAGGCTTATTTCACAGAAATATCAAATATGCATGTCTTGATGCTACCAAAAGAAAAGAAAAAAGAAAATATATATATATGCTGGAAGATTAAGAGGTTTCTTCTGTCTCAAAAAATTATCCAAGTGTAATGAATTGTCTAATAGAGAAAATTTGATTTTTCTCTCTTACATCCTTATCCTGTTTATTCTTGGGGAGAGGACAGAATAGCTGACAGGATAGCAATTACAGGAAAGACAAAGCACTCAGAGCTTACCATGCCCTAAATATGCTCTTGCCTCTAGTATCTAATTGGTTCTTAATCTCACTGTGGGCGATGCTGGGAACATGGAGAGAAGATCAGCTATGAGGCAACCCGTATTGTGTAATACGCTTATTCTAGTGAGACAAAATAAAACAGAGCAAAAGCAGCCTTGAAGAACAAGAAAGATCACAACAGGGCAGCTTGAGGACGTGCGTGGATGAGAAAAGAGGCTGCACACCCGCTTAGTTTTGATAATGTGCATTACATTTCCCTAGAGTGGCCTTCTTAACGTGTGTCATGTGTTGGCATATCGTGTGTCAATTTTCCATGAGTTATAATCATAATCTCAAAAAACAGCCTGAACTCCTTGTTGCTGGCCAAAGATCAGGCAGAACAGAACTTCACAGCAGGGTTGACCTGGAACAAACAGAGTCATTGGAACTTGCTGCATCAGAGGAGCAAAGTTAAAGCTGGGGAAACTTCGAGATGGTGAGGTGTTCCTCCAAAGTCAGGCTGTATTGTATAACAGAACAGCAGGGGAGGGTGGAGTGTGTTTTAGGCACAGCATTCTCCATCGTTGATTGATTACACTCTCATAATTAGCAATGTTCTATGCCAGTTTGTGCCAAGCCCATAAAATCTTACTGTGTTAGTGAAATAAATCACTAATGTCTTGTGCCTAAGCAACATATTGTTAGGTAACATGAACCTTGAACTTTTATCCCTTAATCTAAGTAGAGCTTTGCCTCTAGACCTGCACAGTTATGTAACTTGCTGCTTAAGCCTCTGTGTGTGGTGGTTTTGTTGATGGAAGTCATCACTGTGGTTTCCTCCTCAACTTGGACATTTTATGGAGCTCTGAAGAAGGAGCTGTGTGGTGTTTTACGAGTCTTAGACTGTATGTTCCAACACTGGCTGGTAGTCCTTTTAGTCCTGGGCATGTTGCAAAAAGAGTTATTGAGTGTCTGGGAATAAAACAACAACACTAGGAAACATTTGAGAGAGAAAAAGGAGAGAGGGAGAAGAAAAAAGAGGTATGGAAGGACAGACAGGGAGGGAGAGAGGGAGAGAGGTATGCATGGGGAGGACTGAGGAAGGGCAATGGTGGCAGTAAAAGAAGCACAGTATGTGCAGAGTAAGAGGCAGCCATGGAGGTGCACGCAAGGTTTCTCAGTGGACAGACTTGCATAGATAAGATCAGACAATTCAGTAAATTCCGAAGTGATTCCTGTACTCGGGAGTGTAGTTGCTCAGGGACTTAAGAGCATTCCAGGGTTTATCAATTGGGCCAAACATGTAAATTCTTTCCACTTAGGTAAACAGTGGTTGTATGTAAGGCTCTGAAAAACAAGTCAGATTTCTTTTGCTTAAGGAGATTTGCCTCATCTTTGGTATATCTCTTGAGTTACATAAATGATTCCTGAAATTCCCTCCAGAATGCTGGGTTAGGCTGTGGAAACTTGGAGAAACCATATAACAAGTTGCTTCTCTGAGGACTAACAATTTTAGTTGAGATCCAAGATACCTGTAAAGGACAAAGATGGATATATATACTCGTATATATGTATATGCATATAAATAAAATTTAAAAAATACTAGAGATTCTTTAGGTGTTTGGAGGAAACAGTATGGATTGGGAAGAAATGTTTGAAAATGTAGTGTAATTAATTAACTGCCAGCTTCAATTTCTATTCAGTCTTTCTTTGAACCCAAACATAATAAATTAAGGTGGACTCTCATGTGAGAAGAATTTGAGGAGTCCTTGAAATTGAGGAAGGGACAAGAGAAACTACATGTCCCCCATTGCATGAAGCTTGGGATTAGAGAGACCAGGGGAATTGGTTCCATCCCACGTTCAGGCAAGACCACAAGCCACAGCTTCAGCTCCCTGCCAGGCAGAAGAAGGGACCCTCTGGGAGCAGAGTGAGAAAGGGGGAAGGGACAGAGGAGAGGGGATAAGGTGGAGAGGGAACAGTTTCACAGGGTATCATTGCCAATCCCCCGGTACTGTGTGTGTGATTGCTGTGGATTCCTTCACTCCTAGGAATGAAGGCCACAGCTAGGAGGTTGTGAAGTCACTGCATATTTGGTTTGGGACCAAAGCAAAGATAGGGTGTTTC